AGGGCGCCGCCTGGCGGTGATGGGGAGCAGGGTCCGCCAGGGCTGGGCAGGGACTGGGATACTGGGATTGGAGACTGGGATATGGGGAGTCTATGGGGCTGCCGCAGGAATGGCCCGGGCCGCTGTGCTCAGGTCGGTGTTGCACAGGTTTAGGCAGCCTTGTAGATAGGGCTAAAGCGGGTGGCAGTTGGCAGAGGGAAGCGTGTGCCCGAAGACGCAGTGCGGTGTCACTTACGGGTATGGGGGGGAAAGATCAGCGTGGAAGTTGCTCTCGATTCCCTGCGGATCCAAGCAGGGGTGTGTAGCCGGGGTTGAAGCAGCTGCCATCTGCGTGGAGGGGCTGCAGAGCTCCCATGGGCCCTGCACGCAGGACCATGCCTCCTCACATTGTGTGTGGAGAGGAAGAGTCTAGAAAGAGAAACATGAATCTCAATAAATGAGAAGCAAAATTACCTTGTCAAAGTGAGACATGTTCGAGGTCGCACAATGGAATGCAGCTCTGCTCCCTGGTGGTGTGCAGCAGTGTAGAACATCACTGTACGAGGCTGAATCAGGCCTCTTCACAGAAGCTAAACCACTGCAGACGTAGTTGACATGAGCATGCTTGAGTTTCGCTCTGCTGTGTCCATGCCACCTCTAACCTGTTGGTTCTCTTCTCGGTGCTTCTGGAGGTGCAAACCACCTTCTTGAACAACAGCTGTTCGTAACTTTCCGCTCAGCACATGCATTCCCACCAAAAGCCTCAGTTTGGGATTGGCTTATATCCACACCACATCTCTTCTTACCTTGAATTTGATTTCTTCTTACACGCAGAAAACCCTCTCAGCCATGTCAGATGGTCCCTCTTAGAAGACTGCTGACAGCCCTTTTGCTCGGCTGCTCAGGACATCTGTGAGAGCTGTGAGAGGACGTCTGCACAAGGGAAGACCTTCCTGCACATCCTGGCTGGGGCAAGGCTTATGCTACATGCATTTAGGCAAGAGGGGTTTTACTCAGAGGACTGAGAACACTGCCGAGGCAGAGGAATGGAGCGCCTGGCCTCCTTCGGTAGTAAGTACCGTAAGATGACATTTGGAGAGTGTTTGCCATTGTTTAAAGGCATTAGCAGCTGTCTGGGGGAAGGAGACAGAAAATGAGCGGTATTTGGTCCACAGGGTCACTTTTATGATCAAATTCTCAAGAGCACGAGTACATGAATGATTCAGTGGGAATTCAGGTCTTCTTTTGTATCTACTTTTTATAGTTGGGCTGGTTCAAATCCATTTTCTTGGAGAAAATGTGCCTTGTAACTTGACAGTCTGTTTTGACTACTTTGCAATGAACAAAATAAGAACTTGCAGAGCAGTGCTTCATTCTTGGTTCAGCAATTTGAGCGGAGCCTGAGGTTTGGACAGGTTACAGAACAATCCTGTGATGCCTGTGCAACCACAGCAATACGCTCTAAGAGTCAGACTTGAGGTAGGTGGATGGGAGATTGCAGCTGTCTGTGCAGTATTCCCTGCAAATAAGGTCTTGGGTCTGGTCTTTGATGTAGAAGATGAGCACAGGCACTGGATCTAATCATCCAGCTAGCACAGCTTGATGAGTTGTACCAGGGGGCTGCTACAGAGAAGATTTCCCTTTGAGTCCATTGCACAAGTTTAGGTTTTGCCCTCTGTATCAGACCTAGCAGGGAGGCCATGCTAACACCTCTCTTGCAGGTCTAGCTGAGAAGCTTTTAGGAGGTATTTGGAGAAGCTGCAGTAGCAAAGAGGTTATGTGATTTCACTTAAGATGACTGAGCACAAGTGAATTTAGGTGATTGCAAAACCAGTGCTGTATTTGTGTTGCATAACATTTACTCCTGGCTTCGCAGATGACCCTTTTGATAAGCCTCCATGCCGAGGTTGCTCATCGTACCTCACAGAGCCCTATGTGAAGTGTGCTGAGTGTGGGCCTCCTCCCTTCCTCCTCTGCTTGCAGGTGAGTGCAAGGATAAAAGCATAAGCATTAATTTCTTTGAGAAAGTCATAAAAGGCCCGGCCGTTGCCAAGCTGTTCCATAAACACATTAATAACTGGTCTCTGTAAACTTGGATCAACACACTTATTTGCTCAGGGACAGGGAAATGACAAAGAAAATGTTGGAGGCTGAAGAAATGAGGCATGAGCAGCTGAAAGAGATCTTTGTAAGGACATGCAGTCAGCCTGACTCTGTAACGGAGCATGCTGCTGCATGTCTAGAGGTATTGTCTCTGTCCTTTTTTATGGCATGGAAAAGAAAAGCCATCAAGAAACACCCTTTCTCTGTCCCCACACATTTCTTTCCCCTCCCAAATGGAAATCTGGGGAAAATTTGCTATATTGACAATAATTGTTTGTGACCAGATACAGTTCTTTAAGAGTTATATGCATGATCTGAAAACCACAGAAAGTACTGGTAGTTTTAATTATTACATAATTAAGTTCTACCATCTATTATTTAAAAATGGCAGTAAGCTCTAAAACTGAAAGAGGGGCCCAGCCTTGTGCTCAGATACTTACAAAATACACAACCCCATATTTTGTATATTGGGGATGCTTTTGTTCATTTACCTCTGCTTAAACCCCAGCAATGTAACTGTTGAAAATAGCTGCATGCTGGTGCTTTTTAGACAGAGAACCAAGACTAAAGGAGAACTGTGTTTTCAGTACTCTTCCTGGACTGATCCACTTCACAACACACCACCAAGCTTATTTCACCCCCGTAACTTTGCCACAAATACTTAACAAAAAAGTACGTTGATTCACAGGAGTTCTGTCTTGGTGCAAAACACAAGTGAGATACAAAGATTTAACACCATTTTAACACAGAATTTCCTGCTTTTTGTTTTTTCTAAAAGGAAAAAGATTATTACCTTTCTCAGCATCTCAGGTGGTCAGGTTTGGATACCCAGTGGTCAGAGAATAAAAGGAGGAAAGGGACGGGTTAAAATGTTTTCAGGGCAGAAGTAAGAGACTAACATCATGCTCATCTCTTGTTCTGCAGTGTTTCACCCGAGGATTTGAATACAAGAAACATCAAAGTGATCACACTTACGAGATAATGGTAAGTATTCCTTTCTGAGAACACCTCAATCTTGAGCTTTCATAACCTCCCAGGAGTTGGACCCTCGCTTACTAATATTACATTGAAAAGTTAAGTGATACAATTCTTTCATTCAGAGGTTTAGAATCATTCAGAAAAGAAAAAGCCTTCCTTGGAAGCAAAGCAAAATATCCACCTGGAACACAATGGAATAGTGGAGACATTTAAAGCTACATTTGTTATTGTGCCTGGATAGCACAATGCATCTCACTGGACTTCTTCAAGCATGTGAATCAACTTCTGCTTCTCTATTCTTGGTTTTTTTCTTCAGCCAAATTAATCATTTTTAAAGCCTTCAGTAATTTTTCCTGTGTTTCATAGCATGACATTGTTCAACTGCAGCTGGTCAATACAACATGTAACAGTATAGCAGAAGATCTATAGTGACAAACTAGTTTTTGCTGTAGTTGGTGACCCAATGCCCTAAATAATTCAACAATTATTTGATCAGGTTTCATAGGACACAGTGAAAGTTTAAAGCTATCAGTATTATACACTGTAGTGTAGAACTTCCTTGCTCCTCATGTGGTGGATTATAACAGAGAATCTTACTTGCTTTTTTCTTCTCTAGACTTCAGATTTCCCTGTCTTGGATCCTAACTGGACAGCTCAAGAGGAAATGGCACTCCTAGAAGCTGTGATGGACTGTGGATTTGGAAACTGGTGAGAATTCAGTGGTTCAGCCAACTTCAGTGAACGATGAGTAGTTTTTCCTTTAACTTCACTGAATCTTGCTACTGAATCCGTCAGTGCACATTGAAAGTTCAGTGACTTACTGTGGGTGAGACTCCAATTTAGCAGCTAAAGTGGCAGTCTGGGGTAGCAGGTTCTGTTTTCAAATCTGCTTTTAGGAAGATCTGAAAAGCCTCTAACAGGGAAATTGTTAAAGGCTTCCAGTGAGATGCAGGGCACCTCCAGTGAAGAAGTTCCCTCAGTTCACATTAAAGTCACTGGGTTTTGAAGGAGTTCAGCTATTGCGCAAGATATTTCTGTACCTCAGTTTACTCCTATATAAAAACCAGCTTCAGAACTTCTTACCTGGTGTGGTTTCAGTTTGCTTACAGCTGGCTAGCTGCGTATTGTTATTTTTGGAGGTTTCCTGCTTCTCTGTCATATTTAGGGTAGAGCACTGGGAACATGAAATGTATTTTACATTATGTTCTGTTAATTTCTGTAGTTCAAACAGGATTTTTGTGCATTTGTAAATAAAGGAGATCTGTAGTCATCAGTTCTCTCTTCTTCATGAAAAAATAGCTGTATTAAAAGTAGAGAACTCCAGACTCCACTGGAACAGAACTGTGAGTTCTTGTGTGTACAATGCTGTCATAATTAAGACTGAAAGCTGGCTGCAGTTATGTGCTGCAGGTATGCTGTCTAGTACACTTTGCCCTTCTCAGCAATACAAGTAACCTTAACTTTCTCCTTAAACACTTGGCTTTGTTGTTCAGCCTTTACCAAATAAAGGAAAAACTGACTTTTCTTCCTGGAATCCCTTGTATGCACTTTTTACTTTAACAGAAATTCAAATGATTGCTGCTGCTGGATTATGTTATTGAAAGTCCTCAACTTACACCATTTTATTAAGACAAAATATTTCATGTTTCTGGCCAACCACTTTGCCAAGAAAGTTTGCCAAAGATTTCTAGAATGTGTTTTGTAAAACCATTCTGGTGTTTGAAAAAGCCTGTGTAACATTGCTGCATGAAAGGGGAAACCACTGTCCTCCAGTTAAAATTGCAAGAGAAACTTGAGAGGCAGAATGCAATTCCAGACTTAGAATTTACCATTAGCTGGAGCTGGTAAAATGTATAAATAAATAAAAAGTATAAAAAGCTCTCAAATAACAATACTGAATTTTCACACATACAAAAGATTTGGTACATTCTGTCAGCCAGGGAGTTTCTCCAGGAAAGACAGTGAATTGCATTGCTCATGACCACCAGAAATGTGGATTGCATTGCTCATGACCACCGGAAAAGTGCTCCCTGGCACGGTTATCAAACATGTAAGTATGGGCTCAGTGTTAGTATGCAGAATACGAATTCAGACACTCCCACAGATAGTTCTCTGCACACAATGCCATCACTTTCTTGTCCACGATTATCTTTTTCCACTAGGGAAAGGTAAAAACCCCTCAACATTTCTGTCTTCATATTAAGCCTCCCCCTCTCCCCACTTCAGGCAGGACGTAGCCAACCAGATGTGTACAAAATCCAAGGAGGAGTGTGAGAAACATTATATGAAACACTTTATCAACAACCCCTTGTTTGCATCTACATTACTGAACCTGAAGCAGGCCGAGGAGGCGCAGCACAACGAAACAGCCATTCCTTTCCACCGTGAGTATCTCCTAGCACATGCAGGGAGCTTCCCTGCAAGGCCTCTGCTCTTCCAAAACTGGAATGAGCAGGCTTTGGAGAAAGGCATGCATCATACATTGTTTGCTTTCACTCCTGAAAGGAGAGCTTGTTCTGATGGCTAACTTGAATAATGTTAGTAGTAGGGTTTACTTCACACTGTAGTAAATCCTCAGTGTGTCAAATAGACAAGACTGACAGTTCAGTGGGAAGAGGGAGGGAACAGCATGGTCTGATACACACAACAGGTTCTCAGATCCAGAAGTTCCTGCACAGCCAGAGGAATGGTCACTCACAGAAATGACCACAGCAAAAGCCTGGATGTGCACGTTCTTTCGAAGGACAAGCTACCTCAAAGCTAATTCACGTGCAGCACGATAAACCAGCGTGTCCTTCATGGTAAATACCAGTGTGAGTTCTCACCCTGACCACTGGTAACCACCCTACCCTGCAGTGGTTACTTTTGTCTAGACCCTACATAGCAATGTTAACTGAGAAGGGACTTCTCCCTTTGAAGCATTTATTCTGATTATCTTCTGGGTATGGATGTGATTTGTCCTAAAATCACTCCCTGTAAACTGTCCTTCTCACACCTCTTTCTTTAAAACTGCCTTTTTGAAAGTGTATGCTAAATTTCATCAGTTTAACAAATTTCCAGTTTTCCTGAAATACAGCATCTTTAGAATTCCCCCCCATCTAGCATCTGTTCCATTGTAAAGCTCTCCAGAATGGCTGGGTAAAGGGATTGCTTTGTATCTGGAGGTTTAAATTTCATGCTAAAGTGGCTAGAGCTAAAGCAGTAGGAACTGGACAATTCTGGTTCTGTCCCTGGCCATCGTTCTTTTATGTGACCTGGGCCAAGCCAAATTCTCTGTGCCTCAGCTTACTTAATCTGTAGCCTGGGACTTGTAATGCTCAGCTCTTTCACAAGTGTGTTGTGAGCCTCGGTCCCTTATTGTCTGTAAAACACTGAGCTCTTCGGTTGGGAAGTGCTGTAAAAGATCAGGGTTATGTGGCTTTAATTGCAGCTCTCTCTAAATGGCACCCAGAAGATGGCAGATTTAGCACCCCTCTTGCTATTAACTAAAAGAACCTGCACCCTGAGACCAAGTGATCTGCAGAGGTTTACTGGGGTGATGGTGAGCTCTGAAATACAGAGTTTACATTTTATAACCTATTTATTACCTCGGATTTCTGTGTTTGACTTCTGAGAGTACCACGAAGATCTGAGATTACTGCCTTTTTCTGTGGATAAACTCAGTCTTGCTCTCAACGTAACGCTGAATAAAAGCCCAATCAGGGTGTTTTTCTTCGACTAATTATTCCCACTTTTCCTGCAAAAGAAACACCTATTTACAGATAGTTAAAAAAAGACTCCAAGCCCTACACAACAACTAAACCCCTTTATTTTTTCAGCTGCTGATGATCCCCCACGGCCTACTTTTGATTCCTTGCTCTCCAGGGATATGGCTGGGTACATGCCAGCAAGAGCCGACTTTGTTGAGGTAAGACTTTCTCTTCTCCCATTACTTGAAACTGACTGCTGAATGCAAGATCAGCAGAGGCACACTTGTTTGCTCCTGCCCATAGGTCTTTACTCTTCATATAAAAAAGATTAGAGGACAGGACAGTGATTATGAAGGATTTAATTGCAGAGGTGGCGCTGCAGCCCCGCAGAGCTGTTGGCAGGCACCACGGAGTCCCTGCCCTTGTGCACAGGGGCTCTATGTCAAGCGTGCTGCTGCCACCAGATGTCCAGCAATGAATGGCTCTTATGTAAGTGGACTAGATGTGGTGAATTAGATGCTCAGCAAAAAGGGTCAGCTTCAGCATGCTTCTGTTTCATTTGCCTTAGAGAAGCACGTATGAGCCTGATCCCAAGATTGCTTGAAAGACCTGCATTGTTTTCAGTGGTTTTAGCTGTGGGCCCAGAGCCCCAATTCCTGTTGCAGAACAAGCTCCTGTACATGAAGTAATGAATTCAGCCATATAGGGGCTTGTTGGTTTTGTACATCTGACCCCAATGGGGGGAGTCGTGGAGATTACCTGATTAATTCTCATTATCCTATCACAGCATCCTGTTCCCGTTCCAGCCATGGGGGTGCACATCATACATTCCCTAGTTAAAGCTCCCCGTGATGTATGTTGCTCAAGGATGGAACATTGTACAACTATGTATGAGTAAATATCTCTGTTTTCAGTGCTTCTACATACTCGTATAATTGGTACTTCTTGATAGCAGTTTTTTAGTGCTAGGTAGTGACAATCTATTAATCACTTCTGAACAGGAGTTTGACAACTATGCTGAATGGGATCTGAGAGATATTGATTTTGTAGAAGATGATTCAGACATTTTGCATGGTAAGTCCCATATTTTTGTACATTGTCTGAAAACAAGGTTTCAGAGTTGCCTACACAGCATTTCATCAGGTCTCTTTTTCTCCACACGCTTATTAAAGAGCAAACATACATCTTTTAATGATCTCACTTCTGGGATTTAAACTCTGGCATTTCTACAGTCCTCATTTTCAAATCTCTTTTAAGAGCTCTTAATCAACTGACATACAAATGGTACTTACATAGAGAATAATGCACTTCACTCACTGCTGAAATACAGCCAGTTGTGAAGAAGAACATGACTGAAACCAAACTGTCTCCAAAAGTAGGAAAGACACAAATGATGTTTCATCTGCTATAAACTCTGAAGAAAGTTTAGCTAAGTGGAAGCAAATCACCTAAGATAGCAGTTTGTCTGGAAACAGGTAGCAGCACAGCAGTGTTTGAATAAACAGACCTAAAGTTTGGCCTGTTAGAAACAGAAACATCTTCCCCTCCCTGGCTGAAAGATACTCTTTCCATCTACATAATGTTTGTGAGCATCACAACAAGGCCTAACTTCTGTTCTGATCCAGAAAGAGGAACACTTTCTTCTCTTCTGCTAACACCTCTTTCCC